CATATATGACCTTTGTAATGGATAGGTTTCAGAGAAAACAGAAATGTGGGTAGTTACTAATATGCTATGATTGCGCACTAAGCAGGTAAAATAAACTTCGGTTCCAATAGCTTTTGATCGATTGCTCACGTGTATGTGATTCGAAAATTACATATTTTTATTCTGGCCGGTTGCAAAACTTAATTATGGTGTTGGTTTTAAAAAAGCAACTTGATTATAGTCTAACCCTACACCTACTTTCTGTTCGGTAAATGACTGTATGTTACCTTTACTGTTCTGCGCAGGTCAGGATCATACACATTTCTCATTTCTGTCAGGTAATCTCCGTATTTGTTCTTTTAAACTGACTAGTATCTTTTCCATTGTCCCTCTCGTTTATAGACCATACGGTTGTACTTGTATCATATTATTGTGGGTACGTACTCTTTGCACTACATATATGTTTGGCAGGATCAGGACATCAGATACTTAAGGTCAAGTTGGACAAGGTGGTTTTCTGAAACATGTAAGTACTCATATTCACCACTTTTAATCCCAAACACTGCTTGGTAGATGTACAATAAGTGAAACTCTTTACCTGGACAATTGGTCGGACTTATATACAAAACAATACACAGTATCTGTGTCGACGGACCCAACCAGGGTCTGGCGAACCCCCGGCTGGGTGTGATTCAGAGTTGCCTAGGCTTGGTGGTTGACATCTCCTAAAAAACCAAGTCCACGAATAAATGATGTCATGCTGATGGAAATGGAGATAAAGATAGCCATTCTGGATCCATCTTTATTTCCACTATGGCCTCACCACTGCATGTAGTACTTTCTAGGTTAAATGCTTAATTTGGTCCCTCAACAATTTTTTGCATTTTTTTTATCCCTCAACTATATGAAATGCACTCCGTTAGTCCTTCCGTTAATTTGAGCCGTTAACCTTGCTTAAGTGTCATTTTTTATATTTTTTTTGATGATGTGGAGAGTAAGACTTAAAAAAATGATGACATGCATAAAATTTTTGCCATGTCACATGCTACCCGGCAAAAACGTACCAAATCTATTGAAATGGGTCTCACATCACCACTAACAATTGCTCCTTTCGCCATCGGTTATTGTTTCTATTCTTTCCGGTGTTTTTTTCATTTTCAAGATTGAAGTTCGACAGGGTGTTCTTTCCATTTTCAATATTGAAGTTCGACAAACCCAACTCGATTCATTTCTTTCCATTTTCAAGATTGAAGTTCGACAGAACCCAATTCGATTCATTAAACTCAATTGTCCAAAAAACTCTCGCAACAACTTGCAATTTGGAAATATCTTGGCAAACAATCATATAACAAAAATTACCCAAAAATCCTTCACGGCAAACAATCATATAAACCAAAAAAAAAAAAA